AGCAAGAGATGACGTCATTTTGGAAAGATTAGCTATAATTTTTTTAATCCTTGGTCTACTAGTACAATTAAGAAATTCACTTTGATTAATCATGCCTCACATCAATTATTAGTGTCTGTTTTTGTCTAAGCATTGCAACTGAAGAGACCATTGTTCTATCTTTGTTTGCTCTGATTTTTTATGGTTTTCAATTTATATGGCCCTTTTTTATGCAAGAAAAAATCTAAAAGTTATTATGTAAATATTTATATTTGGATGACCAATGGCCTACCACATTAGATGCTCACTTGGGAGTTACATGTAACTCCCATTCCTATATTATTATCTCTAATTCATATGCATTTATGTAATGGTTACCAAAGGGTGCCTATAAATAGAGCACACTATTGTATCACAAATGGTGTATGAATAAGAAGAATTATTCCCCTCACTTCTCTTGTGTCTTTCCTCCTCCAATCTTCTCTTGTAGTTGTTTACATTTTCAATTAGTTTTATAACACGTTATCAGCACGAGACTCTTCCTTTTGAAAAGGTTAAATCCACAATTGTTCTGCTCAAGGTATGTCGATTCTCCCAAATTGTTTCTTTTATTGTCCTATTTCAATTTACATAATTTCCTTTATTAATCAACACATGAAATCTTTGTTTGAGAATGAATATTCCCATGCTTGGCACCAAGATCAAAAACCATGATGTGTGTCTTATTGATAGTGCATCTACACATACAATCTTGAAGGATATGAAATATTTTTCGCATCTTGAAATGCGAGAAGCAAATGTTAGTACTATATCTGGAAGTACAAATCTAATTGAAGGCTCCGGAAGAGCTAGTGTATTGTTACCAGAAGGAACCAAGTTGTATATCAATGAAGCCTTATACTCTTCAAAGTCTCAAAGAAATTTATTGAGTTACAAAGATATTCGCCGAAATGGATATCATATTGAGACAAAGGAAGAAGAGAATAAAGAGTATATTATGATAACAAATATGGTCTCCGATAAAAAATACATATTGGAGAAATTGCCTGCTATTTCTTCTGGGTTGTACTACACGTTTATTAGTACAATTGAAACACATGCAGTGGTAAACCAGAAGTTTACAAATCTTGATAATTTTATAGTTTGGCATGAGCGGTTAGGCCATCCCGGATTGATTATGATGCGGAAAATCATTGCCAATACATGTGGACATCCAATGAAAGGTCACAAAATTTATTAGTTTAAAGATGTACCATGTGTTGCATGTTCTCGTGGCAAGTTGATTATACGGCCATCACCTGTGAAAGTAAGGAGTGAATCTCTCGCATTTTTAGAGCGTATACAGGGTGATATATGCGGGCCAATTCACCCACCATGTGGACCATTTAGATATTTTATGGTTTTAGTTGATGCATCAACTAGATGGTCACATGTGTGCTTACTATCAACTCGCAACCTGGCGTTTGCTAGATTACTTGCCCAATTGATACGACTACGAGCACATTTTCCTGATTTTCCAATCAAGAAAATACGTCTAGATAATGCTGGTGAATTTACTTCACAAACTTTCAATGACTATTGTATGTCCACTGGGATTGATGTTGAACATCCTGTAGCACATGTTCATACACAAAATGGCCTTGCAGAATCATTCATTAAGCGTTTGCAACTTATTGCAAGACCATTGCTTATGAAAACAAGCTTGCCAATTTCTTGTTGGGGACATGCTATATTGCATGCGGCAACATTAATTCGCATAAGGCCAACAAGTTATCATGAAATTTCCCCCTTGCAAATGGTTTTTGGTCAGGAACCTAATATTTCCCATCTAAAAATATTTGGGTGTGCCGTGTACATCCCTATTGCTCCACCACAACGTGTTAAGATGGGTCCTCAAAGGAGGTTGGGAATTTATGTTGGATATGAGTCTCCGTCAATCATAAAATACTTAGAACCCTTGACGGGAGATTTATTCACTGCTCGTTTTGCTGATTGTCATTTTGACGAATCAGTTTTTCCAACATTAGGGGGTGAGAACAAACAGCTGGGAAAAGATATTTGTTGGAATGAATTATCATTATCTCACCTTGATCCTCGTACTAGACAATGTGAACTGGAAGTTCAAAAGATAATTCATTTACAAGGTTTAGCAAACCAACTGCCAGATTCGTTTACTGACCAGAAAAGAGTGATAAAGTCACACATACCAGCTGTAAATGCTCCAGTGAAAGTTGATGTCCCTGTTGGACAATCTGAAATTGCAAATGAATCTAAACCACGAATGAAGCGTGGTAGACCAGTAGGTTCCAAGGATAAAAATCCTCGAAAAAGAAAAGGAGCTATGAATCAAGTTGATCAAATCGAGGATATGAAAGCTCAAGAAGAGTCCCCAAGCATAACTAAGATTGTAGTTCCCGAAGAACATCAGGTACCTGAAAGTTTTGATAATGAAGAGATCTCAATCAATTATGTCTTGGATGGAAAATGTTGGAACCGAAGTAAAATAATCGTCGATGATGTTTTTGCTTACGCTGCAGCGTTGAGTGTGACGAATGAAAATGAGGATCATGAACCAAGATCTATTGATGAATGCAAGTCAAGAGATGATTGGCCAAAGTGGAAAGAGGCCATTGAGGTAGAATTAAACTCGCTTTCAAAGCGAAAGGTTTTTGGACCGGTAGTCCTTACACCAGAAAACGTAAAGCCAGTGGGATACAAATGGGTTTTTGTGCGGAAAAGAAATGAAAAGGGTGAAGTCGTGAGATATAAAGCACGTCTTGTCGCACAAGGATTCTCACAGAGACCTGGCATTGATTATGAGGAGACATACTCCCCTGTGGTGGATGCAACTACGTTTCGATACTTGATTAGTCTAGCAGTCCGAGAAGGACTAGATCTGCGTCTAATGGATGTTGTGACAGCCTATTTGTATGGATCACTTAAGAATGATATATATATGAAACTCCCTGAAGGATTCACTTTGCCAGAAGCAAACAAAACACATTCTCGAGAAAAATTTTCTATCAAATTGAACAAATCCTTGTATGGATTGAAACAATCTGGACGAATGTGGTACAATCGTCTCAGTGAATATTTGATGAAAGAAGGATACAAGAATGACCCTATTTGTCCATGTGTTTTTCTAAAGAGATCGGGTAGTGAGTTTGTTATAATATCAGTTTATGTTGATGACATAAACATCATTGAAACTCCCGAAGAGCTTCCAAAAGCAGTTGATTTCTTGAAGAAAGAGTTTGAAATGAAAGATTTAGGAAGAATAAAGTTTTGTCTTGGATTACAGATTGAACATTTGAAGGATGGTATTTTTGTGCATCAAGAAGGATATGTTGAAAAGGTGCTTAAGAGATTTTATATGGACAAATCACACCCGTTGAGTAATCCAATGGTTGTAAGATCACTTGATGTGAAAAAAGATCCATTTAGACCTCGAGAAAGTGATGAAGATCTGCTTGGCCCTGAAGTGCCATATCTTAGTGCGATAGGAGCATTAATGTATCTAGCCAGTCATACACGACCCGATATATCGTTTGCTGTGAATATATTAGCAAGATATAGCTCTTCTCCCACTAAAAGACATTGGAATGGAGTTAAACATTTACTCCGTTACCTTCGAGGAACGACAGATATGGGCTTGTTCTATTCGAGTGCATCGAATATGGATTTAGTGGGATATGCAGATGCAGGATATCTTTCAGATCCTCACAATGGTAGATCTCAGACAGGATATTTGTTCATTTGTGGTGGTACAGCCATTTCGTGGCGATCCACAAAACAAACTATAACAGCCACATCATCCAATCATGCTGAAATCCTAGCAATTCACGAGGCAAGTCGTGAATGTGTTTGGTTAAGATCTATAATTCGACACATCAGAGAATCGTGTGGACTATCTCTAGGAAAAATGATCCCGGCGATCATGTATGAAGATAATGCAGCATGCATTGCTCAATTAAAGGAAGGATATATTAAAGGAGATAGAACAAAACATATTCCACCCAAGTTCTTTTTCACTCATGATCTTCAAAAGAGTGGTGAAATAATTGTTCAAAAAGTTCGTTCAAGTGAGAATCTAGCAGATTTATTCACCAAGTCACTCCCAACGACAATCTTTGTAAAGCTTGTTCGTGAAATTGGAGTTCGACGACTCAAAGATCTGAGCTGATGTGGTCATGAGGGGGAGCATATACGCGCTGCACTCTTTTTCCCTTAACCATGGTTTTTCCACTGGGTTTTCCTGGTAAGGTTTTTAATGAGGCAGCATGAGATAGCGTAATAATGCAATCTAGTGGTCATCCAAGGGGGAGTATTATGTAAATATTTATATTTGGATGACCAATGGCCTACCACATTAGATGCTCACTTGGGGGTTACATGTAACTCCCATTCCTATATTATTATCTCTAATTCATATGCATTGATATAATGGTTACCAAAGGGTGCCTATAAATAGAGCACACTATTGTATCACAAATGGTGTATGAATAAGAAGAATTATTCCCCTCACTTCTCTTGTGTCTTTCCTCCTCCAATCTTCTCTTATAGTTGCTTACATTTCCACTAGTTTCATAACAAAAGTTGGATTGTTAGCCATATAAAAAATGATAAATGGAGTTTTTAGCCATAACTCCCTAGATTTCAATCTAAAAATGATTCTTTCGTTGACGTTACTGGCCATATAAAACTACTTTGAGTTCTGATAACGGTTGTCAATTTGTGGGCACATCGATCGGTCGGACTAATTCAACTTGAACCCAATGACCTAACCGAGCATCATTAATCTTGTAGATTGTATTTGGCCCCCAAAAGACATTAAGAAACCAATATATTCATCACCCGCCTTGTTGTATACAAATAGAACTTACGTATATAGTACTGAATACTGTACAAACTGTACTAGACTTCAGTGACAATCGTTTACAAAGTGAACTATATCACATATACTAGAGCACCATGATAGTGTTAATAATGATAGATGAGAAATGCACATTAGCTGTGTTGGATTAGACGGTTGGAAAAGAGGAATCCATAGCGATCCCGCATAGACCTTCCTTGGCCTCGATGTCTCTCAGCATCCTAATGTACCCTTTCTCGCCCCAGGTGGTTCCCCACGAGTTTTTGACCAGCCAATATTTGGTTCCGTTACTGGTCTGACCATACCCAACCGCGGTAACCCCGTGGTCAAGGTTCGTCCCACAGTCCCCTGAAAACACCCCACTGGAATAGAACATGAAGGAACCATCCCCTGCATCTACCGACACCGAAATCGGCTGGTTGGCCACCGCCTTCAACAATGCTTCCTCGCTGTTGGCAGGGACCTTCTGGTAGCCGGTGATTCTGGCGATGTGGGAACTCTCCTTTTGCGAATTGCAAGTTCCATCGGTTCCCTGGTAAGGGTAATTGGCTTCAGAGGTGATGCCGTGGTTACCAATTATGAACTCGAAAGCATTCTCCGTCTCCCCTCCGTTGCATCCTTGGTCGACACTCTTGGTATCGCAATCGACGAGTTCTTGCTCCGAGAGGGAGACCAGCTTCCCAGTGGATAGCTGGTTGATCCCTTCGGTGGCACCTATGGCGGAGAAGGCCCAGCAGGATCCGCACTGACCTTGGTCCTTAACGGGAGTTACGGCTCCTTTGGTGCGCCAGTCCATTGTGGCTGGAACGTCCTTCACATTTTCATACTTGAATGGCTTCGTTGTCTTTGCGGCGGCGAGCTGCAGCTTGTGTAGTAGGAGTGGTTTTCTGATGAGACGGTTGCGGGAGGACTTGAACTCTTCCACCGTCTGGTCCGCGAATTTGTTGATTGCTAGCTTGTAAGGCTTGGTGCCTGCGGAATTGAACGATTCGATGTACTCGACGTTGTTCTTGAATATGTTGAAGCGTGTTTGTTTCTCCGCGGCAGTTTCGTATACTATGCCGTGTTGGTTCATCCATTGCTCGTGCCTTTGAGCCATGTTGTCCGGCTGGGATCCATGGAGCTCTCTGGACGCTGCAAGCTGGGAGACCCATATTCCGATGATGAAAATGACTACTAGTGAAGGTTTGCTGAGGCAGAAGGGAGCTGCCATTTTTGTTCCACTGATTGTTGTTTTGAGAAAGTAGGATTGAATGGCAGGGGATGTGAGGTGGTGTATTTTGATGGATACAGGGGAAGTGGAGGCTCTTATATAGTTATAGTTAGTTGTTTAGCTCTGTAGTGTGCACACGCAGTTCAAGATATTGATGTTGAAGTCTCCGGCTGTTGTACGCTGGTGTTTTGGATTTTCCATTGGCCGCAGTTCGATTCCTGGGAGTAAACGGCAAATCTCTGATGGACGGAGATTCTCGATGGTGATGGACTCTGTTTCTTTCTTAGTTAGGGGGAGCTTGAATGCTTGTGTGTTTGAACTTACACTACGCGATGCGTTTCCGCTCATAGCAATTTCTCCCTATTTTCTGTTTCCTCGTTCTCAATTCGAACGCCGGCCACAATTTTGGCGTTGCTGAGCCACATACACATTTCCGTATGAAAGGTATGACCGGAACCCTAGTTCCAATTAGGGATGGCAATGGGTCGGGTTGGGGCGGATTTTATCAAATCCAAACCCAAACCCATGGGTTTATCCGCCAAAAAAACCCTGGGTAAAACTCGTTGAGTTTGAAAAACTCAAACCCAACCCAACTCGCTGGGTATTGTCACGACCTTACTCTCGATCGTGCGGCCCTAGCTCTCAATTCCGTTAGAGCGCTAGGCAGCCTTTCTCTCAACTCACTTGAAAGCAAAGAACAAGAACAAAGACAAAGGAAGTGGGAGAACTCTCTAGTTTGTATTACTCTAAAAAATGATGGAATGAGTTACAAGTGAGGGAGATGGCTCCTTATATAGGCCTCCCCTCATACAAGGCATCAATGCCCCTCATAATGGTCCATCTATACATCAATACACCCCATAAAGTCCCCCCATAATGCACTCTATTAATGCTACCCATAATGTAGCCCATAAGTGCACCATTACGCTCTCATTTAGGTGGAGAATCCTAGGAGCATCTCTATGCTACTAGTCTTCCATACATGCCACATGTGCAGCCGCCTTGTTGTCACCTTGTTGGCGCCATGTCATCTGCCACATGTGACATCCTCCCCCACCTATGCTCGCGACGCCCTCGTCGCGTCCTCTTGATGGAATGCCTCGATCAAGTCCTTGTTCTTCCAAAGCGTGAGCTCTTTCTCCCAAGTTGCTTCACTTTCCGGAAGGTTGCGCCACTTGACCAAGTACTCCACAAAGCTTGGATGTACGCCACGATGAGGAATGACACGACGCGCCATGACTTCTTCAACTTCATGGTCGTGTGTCTTGGTGATGAGTGTTGGTGCGCGTTGCGACTCTCTTCGCTGCTCATCCTCCTTGTCTTCGTGGAAAGGCTTGAGTTGGCTCACATGAAAGACAGGATGGATCTCCAAGTGCGTCGGCAACTCAACCTTGTATGTCACCGTGCCAATCCTCTTCACAATGGGGAATGGCCCTTCATAGCGGCGAAGCAGTCCCTTGTGCACGTTCTTGAGATGCTTGAAGCGATGAGGGTTGAACTTGATCATCACCATGTCTCCCTCTTCAAACTCCAAGTGACGCCTCTTCTTGTCCGCCCATTTCTTCATCTTCTTACTAGCGCGGGCTAAGTAAGACTTGGCCATCTCCATCTTCTCGTGCCAGCCTTTAGCAAACTTGTAGGCTGCCGGACTGTTGCCTCTATACCCCGTTGCCACCGTAGTAGGTGTCAAAGGTTGCTGCCCCGTCGCCAACTCAAATGGACTCGTGTTGGTCGACTCGCTGCGGTGCAAGTTGTAGGAGAACTGTGCCGTGTCCATCAACTTCACCCAATCTCGTTGGTTTGCACTCACGTAGTGCCGCAAGTACACCTCCAACAAGGCATTCACCCGCTCCGTCTGTCCGTCGCTTTGAGGATGAAATGCCGTCGAGAAGTTCAAGTCTGAGCCCATGATCTTGAACAACTCTCGCCAAAATCTTCCTGTGAAGAGCCCATCTCTGTCGCTCACGATGTTGCTAGGAACGCCCCAATACTTGACCACGTTCTTGAAGAATAGCCGCGCCGCATCCTCTGCTGTCATGTCTTTTGGACTTTGGGAAGTCCGATGATGAAGTCCATGCTTACACTCTCCCATGGTCGTTGAGGTGTGGGCAAGGGCTCTAGCAAGCCTGCCGGGCTTCTCTGCTCCATCTTGTCTTGTTGGCACACAAGACAAGTCTTCACATACATCTCCACGTCGTCTCTCATACGCGGCCAGAAGTATGCTTCTTCGATGAGCGCTTGCGTTCTCTCGATGCCGGGATGGCCCGACCACTTGGAATCATGGCACTCCTTCATGATCTCCTTACTCAAGTTGGCCCATCTTGGCACGAACACTCGCTCTCCCTTGGTCATGATGAGCCCATCCTTCATCCAAAACCGTCGAGTCTTGCCTTGCTCGATGTACTCCGCTACGGTTTTGGCGAAGGGGTCATGGCCAAGGCCTTCAACGATCCGCTCCTTCAAAGGAAACATGGGCTGGCTTATGCTTGCGGCTGCACTCTTGCGGCTAAGAGCATCGGCAACGCAGTTCGCCTTGCCTGGGTTGTACTCCATGACGAAATCGAACTCGGCCAAAAAAGTCTTGCCACCTCGCTTGCTTAAGGGTGAGCTTCTTCTGCGTCATAAAGTAGCTCGTTGCCACGTTGTCCGTCTTCACTACGAACTTTGACCCCAACAAGTAGTGCCTCCATGTGCGAAAGCAATGCACCACGACCGTCATCTCCTTCTCTTGAACGGTGTATCGCCTCTCCGTCTCGCTAAGCTTCCGACTCTCGAAGGCAATGGGATGCCCATCTTGCATCAACACACCTCCAATCGCGAAGTCGGATGCATCGGTCTGCACTTCGTAGGCCAACGTTGGGTTGGGGAGCACGAGCACAGGCTCCTTCACCACTGCTTGCTTCAAGGCCTCGAATGCTTCTTGGCACCTTTCTGACCAATCCCACGCCTTGTTCTTCTTCAAGAGATCCGTCAAGGGTGCTGCAATGTTGGAGTAGCCCTTGATAAACCTCCGATAGTAGTTGGCAAGGCCGAGGAATGACCGCAACTCTGGCACCTTCGTCGGCAGCTCCCATTCTTAGATTGCCTGCACCTTTGCTCCATCCATCTTCAACTTGCCTCCACCAATGATGTGCCCCAAGAATGGAACCTCCGTGGCGGCAAATGTGCACTTCTCCCTCTTGACGTACAACTCGTTGTCGCGAAGGACTTGGAAGACTTGGCATAGATGCTCGGCATGCTCGTCGAGTGTTTTGCTATACACGACGATGTCATCCAAGTAGACCACGAAAAACCGGTCCAAGAATGGCTCGAACACTTGATTCATCAAAGTGAAAAACGTGGCTGGTGCGTTGGTGAGACCGAACGGCATCACAAGAAACTCGTAAGAGCCATACCTCGTCACACAAGCCGTCTTTGGCTCGTCGCCCTCTGCTATCCGCACTTGATAGTAGCCCGAGCGAAGATCTAGCTTGGTGAACCACATCGCATCTCCAAGCTGGTCGAACAAGTCGGCAATGTGGGGAATCGACCACTTGTTCTTCACCGTCAACTTGTTGATGGCTCTATAGTCGATGCACATCCGCAACGACCCTTCCTTCTTCTTTTGGAACAGCACCGATGCTCCAAAAGGTGACTTCGATGGCCGCATGTAGCCTGCGTCCACCAAGTCCTTGAGCTGCCTCCGCAACTCTTCTAACTCCGGTGGCGACATGCGGTATGGTGCTCGCGAAGGGGGCTTCGCTCCTGGCTCCAACTCGATCTTGTGGTCCACCTCTCTTCTTGGTGGCAGCTTCTTGGGCAACTCCGATGGCATCACGTCATCGAACTCTTCGAGGACACCTTCGATGATGGGAGTTGTGATTCCCGTTGAGCCTCCTTCTTCCTCCATTTTCAAGGACACAAGAAAGGTTGGTTCATTCTTCTTGAACCCCTTCAATACCTGCATGGCCGATAGAGCACTATGGGGGCCATCTTCTTTCAAGAGATGGACGGCATGGAACTCCCCCTCTTTCTCCAAGCACATCGTGTTGGAGTTGGGCTTCAAGAGCACTCCCTCCTTGTCGAGGAAGTTGATGCCGAGGATGACTGGGTGATCGTCCATGGTGACGACGGAAAAGTCGATGAGGCCTTCCCACTCGCCAAGCTTCACTGGCACGTTGTGAGCAACTCCATGGATTGGGATGGACTCCGAGTTGATTCTCTTGAGCCTCCCTTGCCTCTTCTCGTAAGCAATACCCAGCCGGTTTGCCTCCTCGATGCGAAGGAAGTTGTCCGTGGCACCGGTATCCACCAGAACGTAGCACATCCCGCGCTTGCTCTCCTTGACGTCGGTCTTCACCGCGCCAAGCTTGCGGATTGAGCCAATCTTGGCCTCCGCCGCCTTGGGCTCCTCTTCTTGAGCTTCCATGGCCGCCAATCTCGCCTTCCTTGGGCAATCCCGCACTCGATGTGGTCCGTCGCAAAGGAAGCAAGACATGGGTTTTGGCTCGTACTTACCCCCTTTGCTCGAACCACCTTGGTGTTGTTGAGCACGAGTGCCCTCCTTGAAAGGCTTCTGCTGTTCTCCACCCTTGTTGGGCTTCGAACTCTTCTCTTTGCCGCTGCTCTCTTTCCTTTTGTACTCGACAAAAGACTCCGCCATGGCCATGGCAGTTGCAAGGTCTTGCACTCCTCGACGTTGCATCTCCATCTTGGCCCATGGTTGCACCCATCAAGAAAGCCGTGCATGGCCTCCTTGTCCGTGATGTCCGGGATCTCTAGAAGCAGCTCCGAGAATTCTTTCACATATTCTCGAACTCCACCCCTCTGGGTGAGTCTTCTCAACTTCGAACGGGCTTCAAACTCCACGTTCTTCCGGTATAACTGCTTCTTGATTTCTCTCTTGAAATCTTCCCACATTACCATCACACAAGTACCTCTTTCGACGTCCGCTTCACGTCGCCTCCACCACACCATGGCAACATCAACCAAGTAGAGTGGAGCGCTACGGAGTTTTACCT